TACTATAGCTGATAATTTATGCAGCTCTGAATTATCCCACCAAAGTTTCGTTATCTCTAACCCCACATTTAAGTTCAAGAATCTCTTCAATTACCGAAAAGTGGTGTTGTTCAACAATAGTCTAACCTAGTATTTTTTCTCAAGAAACACAAGACAATTAGACACGATTAATCAAGGACCCATTCAATTAATCACCCTACAAAACATAGTCGAACAATCTTATAATAAACCTGGCTCGATTATAACAAAATTGAGTCAAAACATCATCCAATAATTGGTTCCATCAACCCTAGATTAAATGTTTAGCTACTCATAGCAAAGCAAGACAAAACTACAAAAGTGTTTATAATGCGCAATTGAAATAATAAAGAGAAGATAGAAAAGCTCTAATGTTTGGTTGCTCTTCTCACACTTGTTCTTGCCTCCAAATTAGTCTAAAAAAAAGCTTAAACCTTTCTTGGGCGAGTTTCTTGAGTTTATAAGGGTTTGGAATAAGTTTCCCCCGATTTATACTTTAGTCCCAAAAGTTCTGGGCAGCTACACAGTCTACCGTGGCAGAATGCAGCATGACCGCTGTGAAACTCGAACATTCTGCCTCGCTTCCTTGGCCTGCCGTGGTCGACCGCGATCGCGGTGGCCTTTAGCCAGTCCTCCTTTGCCTCTTTCATGCTTATTTTTGCTCGGGTTCTTCTTGATTGGCCTTTCATCCACATTATTGACTCCCAAAACACTTCATAGTCTCTTCTTACTCGGATTAGTCCCTGCGAAGAAAAAGAACACCAATTAGAGTATTTCGTTATCATTTAGCCTTTAAAACAAAAATAAAGCATGGTAGATTTAGGGTGAAAATATCGTCTATATAGCCTATTATCAAAACCCCACACTTAAATCATTGCTAGTCCTCGAGCAATCCACCACACTCTATAATAGTTCCTTCCCTAAGCTTTTCCCTTAACGTATCACACAAAGAACAACTCACCAAAGTTGCGCCTAGTAGTGAACAACCTTTGCCTCAAAAGTCGAATCTCACGTGTCGTGCAATATTCGTACTTACTCAAACTACTCTATACAGAAGTCAAGACTTACCTTTACTTCGTGAATCACATTCCCTCACGTCACACAAGAGAGTAGTTCCACAATAATATTATTAAGAATAATTAGGAACTCAGATAGACAAAATTCGCTCACTCTCAAAAAGAACATTCACATGCCACAAAGATGCACCATAGGCTTGCCCGTAGTGTACTTCTCTACTAATCGAGCCCATTCAGTCTAAGATCAATTAGGACTTCACTTGGTTGTAATGTAGGCTATGGGACGGGTAGGATATATTTGGATATAGTGACTAACCTCCCTAAGCACTTTTAATACAATCACATGAATCTTGAAAATCATACTTATTTCAACCATACGTTCAACCACATTTTTATTTATAACATCCCACCCTTTAGGTACAATTGTATCAAGTCACCACTTATCAACTACTACATTTACACATTTTTTTAATCTTTTTTAAGCGGTGCTTCTTCTTTTACTTTTCCAAAAACTGCCCTTTTCCTCTATTTCATTGGTTCCACTCGAAAACCAAACCACCACTCCACATTTTAGCTTTTGCATATTTCAAGGCCATTCAAGTGCTCATGGGAGGTAAAAGGGGTTCAAAAAGATGGGCCATTCAAACAATTGTGTAAGGTTCGCAATGTGGTTGCCAAAGAAACATGCTTATAGGCTCAACGAGGTTGACTACAATATATCACATTTAGGTGGGTCTACTTTATATATCTGGCTTAACAAAGAAATGCCTATATCACTTCTAAGATTGACTGAAGCTACTATTTTGCTTAGCAAACACACGGGACAAGTTCTAGGAATCAAATGTAAAACATAGAATATAGTACAACTCACACACACATGGCACATGACTCACTCCAGATTGGCTTATCAAGACACTCTCTTTTGAATGTTCAAGTCAGTTACAAACATACAATTTAAGGCACTTTAGCAAGAGTCAACCACTGAGACTAAGCGTTACACTCTAGTGTCTATTGTGCTTAGGTGTATCAACGCTAAGGGTTTCTCTTTCTATTTCAGCTTGTAGCCCATCAATACTAACTAAAAACTAAAATTAAAATAAACAAAAAAAACTACCTACACCCGATTCAAGCTAAACCCTTGAAAAAGAACTGTGGCCCAAAGAAAAACCAAGGGGGAGTTACTACACTACCTAAAATTAAAAATATCTTTTTGGTATTTTCTTTTAGACTTACTTCCCTCAAGAAAAACTGTATAAAAGATCCGTCATCAGGAAGAGTCCCCATATTCCTGTTTTTTTTTCGTTCGACTTTTATCCCTCAAGAAACCTGTCGAGAGGTGTCCGTCTTCGGGCCAAGTCTCAGTTAACTAACATGACCCAACAATACCAAACAAACAGAAAAAAAGAAAACAACACCATACACAATTATATAATTTTTTTTTACAATAACAACCATCCCCCACCCCACACTTAAAACTTTGACATGTCCCCATGTCAAAAAATATAAAGCATAGTAAGGTAAGGGGACTTCCCTGAAACTCAATCCTGATCAGAGACGGTACCAGGATCGAGGTGACACGCTCGTCCTAATGCCCGAAGCCATCCCATGATCTTTTTCTCTGATTTGCCCTATTGAGTGGTCAGATTGTCAACTCTAGTGCATAGGTCAGTGACAGAAGTGCGGGACCAGCCATTTCTTGTTCTAGGGCTGCCATACGGGTACTTCGGCGGGCCTGTGATGGGCCCACCTCATCAGCTCTCGGTGGTGGTGGAATAGTAGCATACTCAACATTCTCATCAATTCCATCATCATCCTAAACCATCTAGCCCGGAACAAGGCTTCCAATGGCAATTTCCCATCAACTCTGGGATTTTTTAGAACTCTTACAGCACGACACAACCTAGTAACTAGAGAGGGGAACTAAAATCCTTTGAGTACCTCTGGGGAGCGAATGAACATCTCACATGGAGGAGCCTGGCGACATCAAAATCCTGGTGGGTCATAAAAGAGTAGATAGTGGCTGCTCGTGGACCATTGACATCGGTAGTATTGCTGGAGGGTAGCAACCGACTATTGATAATTGTGATCTAACACTTATCCTCCCAATTGAGAGACTATGAGTTCAATGTGATCCGGTGCTTTATCCATATGTGCTACCTATCTGGCACACATATTGCTTCTAGAATTGGTGCCCACCAGATAGTTGGGCGATAAGAAGCAATGTAAGTATCTCATTCCCCAGTGAATACTGCCAGCCGGTACACTCAGCGGATGTCCTCAAGGGAAGCATTTACCCTGGTGTTGCGTACTGTGACCACCCCATTCTCATGCTCCAGGCAGTTAGCATAGAATTCCCTAACCATCTGTACATTCGCCTCCTCCGGTTTCTAAAAGAAGATGTCCAACTGACACCTCCTCAACTCAGCAAAGATATTTGAGCATTCCACACTTGCAAGGCTTCTCGGTCAATATGCATTTCCAGTAATAATTTCTTAGACGCCTTGGCATTATACCTGTCCTCAGCTGGTTTGGAGACAAATCTAGTCCAGTCAAATTGATTCGCACTAGCTTGACCCCGAGCTTTCGAAGAACTCCTCGGTCCACTAGCGGAGGACCCTGTGTTGCATCTCTTCCTAGATAGATGCATTATACCTGCCAAAAATAGAATCTCCTATCAGTGAGGGTTTGAGTTGTGTGAACCCTGGGTGGTTACTCAGACTTCACCACTCTCATGGTCACATTAGCCCTTAGAACTCCATTGGGGCAATTCCACAAACACCTTGTGAGCAAGTCACTATCATAACACATTAGCCCTCATGGATACATCAATTCTTCCCCCAAATCTATAATTTGTACTTCACCATTCCACCCCACAACAATTAGTCTTACACCCACAAGCACACAGTTCTCTACAACATAGTGCACACACCTCTATATAACATTGTGCACATAACCCATTAAAAAGCAAAAAACGAAAATCAAAAGAAAAAAATCTACTAAAAAATACTACAGAATTAGAACATTGAACTAATATAAAACTAAAACAAAAATACAAGAGAAGAGAGAGAGAAGCTTGCCATACCTGGATGTAGGAGAGGGTGAGAGGAATGGAGGTTGGGGGAGATGGGTGGGCTTGTGAGAGAAGTGAAGAAGAAGAAGAAGAAAAGAGGAGGAATGTGTTGATTTAGGGTTTAGAGAGAGGAGATGGGGAAAGTGAGGGGGTGGGTGGGTTAATGAAATAAAGAGGGGGAAAAGTTAGAAAAGAAAATAAAAAAAATAAAAATTTACTTACCTGGGCGACGAAGAATAGCGAATCGCTGCGGTCGATCGTGGTCCCACCGTGGCCGCGGTGAATGAAGAAGGCGAGAGGCAGAATACTCACGGTTTACCGCGGTCCCACCGCGGTCGCGGTGGATCACGTAAGTTTGAGGCAGACTACCTCTCTTTTGCTGTGGTCGCGGTCACGAGGATTTTTTTTTTTTTTTTTT